GGGCTTCACTGCAGTAAAGGAGGGACTAGAGTAAATATCCAGCTGGAGACTGGGCTTCACTGCAAAAACGAAGGACTAGAGTAAATATCCAGCTGGAGACTGGGCTTCACTGCAGAAACGAAGGACTAGAGTAAATATCCAGCTGGAGACTGGGCTTCACTGCAGAAACGAAGGACTAGAGTAAATATCCAGCTGGGGACTGGGCTTCACCTAGGTAAAAAAGGGACTAGAGTAAATATCCAGCTGGGGATTAAGCTTATATACAGTGAGGATGGAATCATGGGACAAAAAGGCACTGGCCATCAGTACATTTGTGGGGGGGGGGGGTACTTTACTGCAGTGAGAAAGGAAGTGGGACATCAGGCAGAGATGGCCCGGCACTCCAGAATTCTGGACACACGCCTGGCCGGGTCTGGCGCCCCACCCCCAACCACAGTCTGACCAGCAAAACACCAGACCGGCCCCGCCTCCTCCTGTTCCCCATTGGCAAATGTGTGACCAATAACCTTTAAAAAGCAGGCAAGAAAAAGGGGCTGTCGCCGAGAGCTTTGGGTTGTGTGACGGCCCTTACCTCGGCAGGGGAAAAGGCCATCGGCACGGTGACAGTGACAGGAGGACGGGGAGTGGCTGCAGAGCAGAAGGACGAACCATCCCAAATCTCTGAACTAGAAATCCCCACTGCAATACACCTGATTTATATGCTGAAAGTGGACTAACAAATGAATCGCCACCTTTTCTCACTGGTGGTGGTGCGATCAGACAGGGACCTTCTCAAGATTAGAAAGAAAGAAAGAAAGGATGGATGGATGAACAGACAGAAAGGGAAGAAAAAGAAAGAAAGAAAGAAAGGATGGATGAACGGACAGAAAGGGAAGAAAAAGAAAGAAAGAAAGAAAGGATGGATGAACGGACGGAAAGGGAAGAAAAAGAAAGAAAGAAAGAAAGGATGGATGGATGAACGGACGGAAAGGGAAGAAAAAGAAAGAAAGGATGGATGAACGAACAGAAAGGGAAGAAAGAAAGAAAGAAAGAAAGAAAGAAAGAAAGAAAGACTTTGGTGATGAGCTTTGTACTCATATTCATAGTGAAGCAAATGCTAATTTAAGATAGAATGTGGGGATTGACTCTTGGCCTTCACCATCTTGAAGGACAGATTTGATGTGTGCAGTCAGACTGCTCTGTTCCTCCAAAACGAGAGCACTCTGAAACCCTTAGATCAGCAGGCTGTAGTAAAAGTGTGCATTTGTAGCCACACACACATCAGATTCATTTAAAGGTACCAGTTAAATGCCCACCCTGATTGGGCAAACACCATCACAGCCAAACGAATGGTGTCCTCAAAGCAAAGACATTTTTGTTACATTTTTTAGGAACCATGAACTGCTTGACATGGGTGTGTCATTGTGGGTACTACAGACAGAGGGCGCTGTACATCAGTCACAGCCACATGCATTAAGGACACAGGGCCAGAGAGGGGGGCTCTACACACTACAGACAGGTCTCCCCAGGTCATAGAGGGGCTCTACACACTACAGACAGGTCTCCCCAGGTTACAGAGGGGCTCTACACACTACAGACGGGTCTCCCTAGGTTATAGAGGACTACATGTATTTTTAGTGCTCTGTCATGCAAATGGTCTCCTAGCATAACCTTTCTTACTGCTTTACTTTTTTTGAAATCATATATAAGCAAACCGAAAAGCGAAGCAGGATGTTTTTCTTTAGCTGCTAGGGGGTGGGGAGGCTGGGTAATCTATGCTTGAATGCTCAGAAACCCTGCGACAGACAGAAAGGATGTCGGCCGTTTCCCAGAGCGATTAACCTGACCTGACGTGCCATTGTTACATTTTATTTTATTATTCCTAAAACTATGTGCTAGTGCCTCTTCGACTGCGCCTCCCCAATCCCCTCAGAGCTGACGTGTGTTTGGGAGAGGGGGTGAGAGGGAGAGAACTTTCTGGCAAGAGTGTTAATTGGTCCAGTGAGGTAGCTGGCCACTGCAAACGCAAAGAGGAAAAGTTTGGGAGATTTAAGAGTCACTGCATTGGGGAGAACAACAACTGGGGGGTTCAGATTGTCTGGGGGCGGCAGGAATTTCCAAAAGGTGTATAATCCTGCATTTAATTCAGCCTGACGAAATCAATGCGTTACGCACCGTCAGCCGCACGACTGTACAAACGGCACGACGCGCTCAAGCTAAACACATCCTCCATGGCCGCGCTTCCAACAAACACGACAGGCTGCCAAGACGTGCAGCCTATTTTATGGAAGATGCACATATTTTAGCATTAATGGGAAATGTTATTAATAATCACTCTGGGGGTGATACCAGCATAAAGCTGCGTCGTTACATCAACGTTCAGGAAGACAGGAGCCCGTTTGCGATGTTTGCCATGTTTACTGACATCCAGGGTGGGGAAATGGGTAATGTTTCACACGAAAAAGAGGCCAGGTATCTCAGATGGGCGTATTGGTAATGTTTACCAAAAAAAACAGGTAACCCAGTGAGTTAAACAGGTAATACTTACTAGTATAAAACGGCGTTGGCCTCATGCCTTTCGTACCGCACAGTTTCACACATCATCCTGTGGGGGAAAAAGGGCAGAGGAGTGAGGCGTACTGTTCAGGAGGGAGACTGTAGAGCGAGCCCTGAAGGGGTGGGGCTACTCAGACAGAGCCACACGCCACCTGCTGGCAGAACTGATAATGCACACGCCCCCCGCCTCGCAGGCGAAAGCCGGCTGGCCCAGCGGACCGACCCTCCATGTCTGCTCAGATTAGCTTCCAGAGCTGTGGGGGGGGGGTGTTTTCACACAGATGATCAGCTCCTGTTCCTCAGTCAAGCCCCAAGGGAACTGGGGGGGCTAATATCTCTGCCTATGACAGGCGGTGCACAAAACTGGATAAATGAATCAAAATTTAACACAATGGATACAAAATCCCCCCAAACACACATTGTTAGGGATAAAATGAAACCAGTCAATAACGGCCCAGCGGGTGGGTGGCAGAGAGCTTTACGAGCACACACACCCCCCCCATGTGGCCCCGCCATCCCCAAAGCCCTGGAGGACCCTCCCAGACAGCTCTGCTCTGCAATTGTGAACCCCTTGTGCAAGGCATGCTGGGTAAAACGCTCTGGGGCAAACGGAGCTTAGCGGTATCTTCACCAGAGGCATGTTTAGGCCGAACGGAAATGCTGGTGTTTGAGTGGGAGCTGGAAGCTGGAGGCGGCGGGGGGGATGTGGGGGCGCAGCCCTCACCTTAACTGGTGCTCTCTCAGGTTGGACAGGGCCTCCATTCCGTGCAGGTACGAGTAGACGATCTCCAGGTCCTGCGGGAATAAGAGCGGAGGAGTGAGATCCAGCAGGACGCCTCGGATGTGGTGGGAGGGGTCTTCAGGACGGAAGGGGCTGTGGGGTGCTTTAAAAATCTACATGTGCAGTCCTCACACTGGTGGACAGGGGGCGCCGATGAGCAGGAGCACAGGGATCATTTTCACGCTTCAGTCCAGTGACCCCTGGCCAGTGGCTGCCAAGATTTAAATCAGGGAGAAGACCTCGCGTTCACACGCTGACCTTTAAACACCCAGGGAGGTACCTCCTACCGCTCAATTAAAAACTAGACGAGTAGCAGCAATACAGGACGGGTGGTGATCTCAGACACTTCCCACTATTTGTGAGAGGGGGGTCCCAAGTTGGAAAAATAACAGGGGTCCGGATGGCACGCCCACCGGGGGGGGGGGCTCGCATCCTGAACCCTCAGCTATGACCCGGATTGGGATTTCCTCACTCAAGGAAAAGAATCATTATAAAGAAAAAGAAAAATCTGAACTGCAATCCAGCTGTAAGAGACACGTGTGAGGAGGCTGCAGTGTGATCTCTCAACCTCCCAATCAGCAAACCAGACAGAATTCAACCTCACATGCAAAAAAAAGGATCGTTTTAGAAATCTGTCTTTATAAAGCAGAATATTTTGCTAGAAAAATACTTAAGCCTCAAGCCTGCATGTTATAAGACTACATTCTGCATTCACTTTTTTTTTTTTACCAGGTAAATTATCTCCTGCCGAGTATTAGGTAGATTTTCTAGCCATTAAAATCATAATGAACCATTAAAGCAGTGTTTCTTAATCTTGTCCTCACAGTCCCCCAGCCTGTCGACATCTTTGCTCCCTCCCAACTCCCGTGGACTATCTGGGGGTCCCCGAGGACCAGGTTTGAGAAACGCTGCATTAAAGGAAAATTAAAATGAAGAGGGTCAGTCTGCCCTCTGCTGGCGACAACTCAGTACTGCGACGCCAGTCCGAATTAACAGTACCCATTAGCATATTTATCAAGTTACATCAAAGTCATCCATCCTTCTTCTAACAGCTTTATCTATGAAGGGGTCTGGGGGGAGGGAAACATTAGCCAATCCTAGGCAGAGTGGCGCACAAAATTAGGCCACACCCCTTATGAGATGTCAATCACATTACACTGAAATATATACACATACACACACACACACACACACACACACACACAGTCAAACATTACATGCAGTTTAGAGATGGCAATTAGCCTACATACATGTGTTTGGACTGCAATAGGATGCTGATTTAACAGAGCGCAGAGGTGTGACATCATCCTTATTAGATCACTTTTTTAAAAATGAAGAAAAAGGCTAATGGTCACATAAAACAGGTGTGAAGGGCAGTGAATTAGCATGTTAGCAACCTGCTGCAGCTGACAGAAGACCAGAAATCTCACACACACCCAGCTGGGGCACCATTCTTAAGTTTGTTAACTGTATTTATTCAATTGCAACTGAACACAGAAAATTTCCACAATTATACTGTAATCAGTGATTCGTTACCCACTTAAAAAAATGGCCACAGCGCTACAAAATGTGCCACAGGACCAAATATGAAACATGTTCTATAGATTTATATGTATTTGTAAATTATACACAGACCAGGAACGACTTCACAGGACAGGACAAAACAAAGCCTGGCGTTTCGACAAATACACACAGTAACCACTAGGGGGCAGGGTAGACCAAAGAGATCCAGTACAGGCCTTTGTGCGAGAAGCAGTTGAACAAAACCAGTGTTACATAAAGAGCCCATTTTTCCACAGAGTCTGGGTTATGGAAATATGCACACAGAATATTAACTTTTAAATTTAATATCGTGCCTTTCAATCACGGGAAACAAAAAAAGACCAAATACAAAGGAAATGTAGAGAGATCTGCAGAGCATTATGCAAACATTCTGCAGAGCACCCTCTCGAGCCGAACCACCGAACGGAGTCGGAGAGCGAAGCAGACATAACGGGCCAGGCTGCACTGGACACTGGAAAGCAGTAAACCTCAGCGACTCTGGCTTTAAAAACTATTTGTAGGCTCTGGAGCGTAAATGCCACTGGGATGCTTTTACGGTAGCCAGGGGAGGGGGAGGGGGGGACATCACCTGACACACTCGCGCTACACTCGCTCGTCCTTCAACAAGTCACACCTCTGCAGCCCCGTTAACCTGTGATGGAGGGAAGTGTCCTCTAGAGGGCACCACTGAGAGGAGCCCAGGGCAGGAACAGGTGACGGCGAGGAACACCAGGTGACACATGGCGGAGACAGAAAGGGACACAAAACCAGCTGGCAGGACACAGCACACAACACAACCCCCCCCCAGAACGTGTATGGAAGGCATGTGTAAGGAAATCTCGCTTTTTGGGGAGGGGGGGGGGCGTGAGGAATTTTTAATTAAAAGAAACAACATAGACAGCTAGTATTTAGCAGGCATTTCCTCCTTTCCCAGCGTTCCTCTTGCGCAACCGAGGTCACATGACCCCCATGCTCCTGCGGGAGGACATGCACGCCGGACAAGGCAGCCATTCCAATCATTCCACGCTGACAGGCGGTGGGCTATTCGGATGAGGTCGAATTCCACTCCCCCCCCCCACCCCAGACACAGCGAGCGGACCAGTCGCGTGTGATATGTGACGCAAGGGTGTGTTGATACGCCTTTGCCTGTCACCGTAACACCCTGGCTGGCGGGGCACCTGTCCCGACAGACAGGGACAGAGAGAACGAGGAGAAGAGATAGAGACAGAGGAGAATAGAAGGAATGAGACAGAGAGAGAGAAAGAGAAGAGGGACAGGAAGAGGTTTTGGACTGCTCAATTGAGAGCAGGGGGTCTCAATTCTGCTGTGACCTCACTCAAACCATCTACTCACCCCCCCCCCCCCCCCCCAGCCAGGAATCCACCTGCCCCCGATTTCCGCATCCGGTCAGATGAGACGCGTTCGCAGAAATGCGTGATTAATGCACGAGGAATGACAGGATTATCAGCAGAGGTGAGCAGAGGAATCCGGCGTCGCTGGCGTGATTTCCCAGGCTGTTTAAAAAAACTGCCCCAACAAAAAAAGCATAACAAAAATGTTAATGAGTGTCACTCATAAACTAAAATAAAACAATATTACCACAATGTACAAATTCCAATAATCTACACACCATATACACACACACACACACACACACACACACACACACACACTGTCTGCCGAGTTGAGTTTAAGGGTCAGGAGAACAGCTGGCTTTACAAACAGACCATAAAGCCAATAGCGGGCACTGTCAGCACAGCCATGCCCTCCAACACCAGCCCTGGGAGGCGTTTCAATCCGTCCAAAACCAACAGCGATTAAAGTCACCGCCCGCAGTCCGCCCTCCGCAGGGGGGGGCGCATTCCGCTAGCCAGTCGACGTCTTCCCACACTTTTGTGGCTGAAAATCCCACACACAGAGTGGGGGAGGGGAACGGCCCGCGATTTCAGGCAGAGACGCGGCCAGCTGAACCGTTAGGTGGGGGCGTGCGGGGGCGCGGTTCCGCATAAAACACGATAATAAAACTGTATTCCTTACCCGCCATAATGGTAGCGCCTGTGCTAAAGCACTAAAAGGTGTGGATTAACTAGGTTAGGACTCTGGGTCGGTGATCAGGAGGTCGCCGGTTCAAATCCCAGGGTTGGCAGAGTCATGTCACTGTTAGGCCCCTGAGCTAGGTCCGTAACCCTCAGGTGGCCCAGAGACTATCTGACCGCGTCAGATAAAAGGAAACGCAGGAGAGGTGTCAAGGAACTGAGAAAGTTCTAGGTTCATAGTGACAGACAATGAATGGATTACCAATAAAGATAACACCTTTTACACTTGTCCATATAGCTCACAGCTAAGTCAGGAGAAGCCACCGAAACCAGAACAACCCCGCCCCCCCCAGTGTGTGAGAAACCTATACAGACGCGGTAGGAAGCCGACGAATTTCTCAGAAGAGCACGTACACACGCAAATCAAAGACACATCACGGTTCTCAGAACATCCTTGACAAAAAGTGCACACTCGTCTCTGAATTTAATGCCCTTGGGTAACTCATTTACCATTTAAAAACGCCTCGTTAGACAGGAACTTAACAGTGAGCAAAAATGTTTAAGTCAACATTCTGCAGATTTGTTAGACGGTAATAATCCATCGCGGTCCAGAACACAGAGCTACAGTTCTGGTCATGGAGTTTCCCGGTCATGTCAGACATTGGCAATCAGAGACGACAATCTGATCAGAGTCTGCTAGAGTGGGGGCTCAGGATGGGTTTCAGGTTCATGACTGCCACCTACAGGTCTGACGGACATCTGCAGGCAATCAGCCACGGATGCTGACAATCTGACGTCACATCCCAGAAACAGGAACAATTAATCTGGAATGAAAAACATTTAGGGAAACTAAAAACTAATAATGCATGAACCTTCAGGTTTATCTTTTTATGCGGTCAAATAATTCATCTCGGCATTAGTACTTCAACAACACAAAAAAAATAATAAATAAACCCAAATGTGTCATCCCCCTCCTGTGTACAAAATGCATATCAGCAAAAAACCAGAGATAGGTATGGCCAGGATCCTACTGCAGGATGGGTAAAGGGTCTGCCCAGGGTCCTAGTGCAGGAAGGATAAACAGGGTCTGCACAGGGTCCTAGTGCAGGAAGGATAAACAGGGTCTGCACAGGGTCCTAGTGCAGGAAGGATAAACAGGGTCTGCACAGGGTCCTAGTGCAGG